GTCCTGAAAAAAGAAAGGATTTTTACTTTAAAGTCAGTTGTGCCTCGGACCTCCTGTTCTTTTAAAATTGAGAATTATACTTTGATCTTTACACTGCAAAAAATGATACAATATGAGGTGATAATTGCTTGAATTGAGTGTTTTTTTGCTACATTTGACACGACCAAGACATTTCTTTTATCTTTTTAAAACAAGAGAATGCTTTGTCCCATTATTGCATATCTTGCTTTAAGGCAGTCAGAATGTGCTCAAATCCAGGAACATTTTGGCAAATTTGAGACATTTTTGAACTATTTTCATGTAGTTCTTGGTGTTACCTTTGAGATTGTGTGTAATTTATGATAGAAATATGTTTAAAACTGAATTATCGTATATCATTACTTGTTTTAGGACCAATTTCTACAATAAAGTCACAGCTACAGGCTTGTGGATACTTGCTCCACATATATTAACATCCAAAAAGTGTCGCAAGTTAATGTCGCAACGTTGAAAAGCCGCAAACTGGCAGAAAAGTGCACTGACGACACTATTTAACCATCATCATAACTTCAGTCGTATAACTTTCCAGCGTCAGAGCTCGGCCGCCTCTTCCAGCTTTATTCATAACCAGACCATAAGTTTATAAATCTCTCACTGGTGTTTCCACATTTCACCACATCATGAGAAGCTTGTACTTTTCCAGTGAAGGTCTGAGGAGAAGTCCAGTAAAACTTCTGTGGGCCGTGCCAGCTGCGTACAGCAAGACACATAAAACCCCGTCCCAAGGAGAAGACAAACTGTGCTAAGTGTTCATTAAATATCTCTGCCAAGGGGACTTTGAAATGAGAAGTGAAGGACTAGAGGGGCCGTGATTACAGTAATGCAACAGTTGTGGATCGTGGATGGAAGAATGTGGCCAAATCTGTTGAATGGGGAACACAGAAGTCCCATAAAACATACTCATAACAAAACACCCAGGACTCTAGTGATAGAGATAGATATAGATATAGATAAAGAGATATATAGATATATAGATAGAGATATAGAGAGATAGAGCTATAGATAGAGATAGAGATATAGAGATATAGAGATAGAGATAGATATAGAGATATATAGATATAGAGATAGAGATAGAGATATAGAGAGATAGATATAAAGATAGAGATATAGAGAGATAGAGATATAGATATAGAGATAGATATATAGAGATAGATATAGAGATAGAGATAGAGATAGAAATAGAGATATACTGTAGATAGAGATAGAGATAGAGATAGAGATATAGAGATATATAGATATAGAGATAGAGATAGATAAAGAGATATATAGATATAGATATAGAGATAGAGATATAGAGAGATAGAGATAGAGATATAGATATACTGTAGATAGAGATATAGATATAGAGATAGAGATATAGAGATAGATATAGAGATAGAGATAGAGATAGAGATAGAGATAGAAATAGAGATATACTGTAGATAGAGATAGAGATAGAGATAGAGATAAAGATAGAGATTAGAGATAGAGATAGAGATAAAGATAAAGATAAAGATAAAGATAAAGATAAAGATAAAGATAAAGATAGAGTTAGAGTTAGAGTTAGAGTTATGGATATAGAGATAGCGATAGAGATAGAGAGATAGGGTTGTCTGGTCAGGTCTTGTCCGGTCTTGGAGTCTGCTTGTATGAGACCTGGTCCGCTGCATCTTCAACCCTACGCTCTAGGCTAGGTTTAATACAGTCCTCTGTAGTTTAGCATATGGCTAGGAAGGTAAGACTCAGGGAAGGCTAAACTCCTCAGACTGTCAGTCAAGCTGCATAGGGAGCCCCCTGCTGGAGAAGTATGGTAACAGCACTATCCTCTCCTCCTTCCTACTTCACCTGTTTAGCATTATTAGGATTTTGACTGTAGTCTGTTCATTGCTATTCACCCGTTGTCCCATTGTCTGTTTCATGGTACGACGATGGGACCTATGAACCTGGCCTCCTCCATCTACACCTGGGAGTTCTTCAGTCCTGCACCGGACCTGTCCACGCTCTGCGGCCGCTGCCTGACTCTGGTCCACGTTTTCTAGCTTAGGTCCTGGATCTACAGCCTCAGTCCTCGTTCTACAGTCTGAGTCCTGGATCTACAGCCTCAGTCCTCGTTCTACAGTCTGAGTCCTGGATCTACAGCCTCAGTCCTCGTTCTACAGTCTGAGTCCTGGATCTACAGCCTCAGTCCTCGTTCTACAGTCTGAGTCCTGGATCTACAGCCTCAGTCCTCGTTCTACAGTCTGAGTCCTGGATCTACAGCCTCAGTCCTCGTTCTACAGTCTGAGTCCTGGATCTACAGCCTCAGTCCTCGTTCTACAGTCTGAGTCCTGGATCTACAGCCTCAGTCCTCGTTCTACAGTCTGAGTCCTGGATCTAGCCTCAGTCCTCGTTCTACAGTCTGAGTCCTGGATCTACAGCCTCAGTCCTCGTTCTACAGTCTGAGTCCTGGATCTACAGCCTCAGTCCTCGTTCTACAGTCTGAGTCCTGGATCTACAGCCTCAGTCCTCGTTCTACAGTCTGAGTCCTGGATCTACAGCCTCAGTCCTTGTTCTACAGCAACAGACACACATCCATGAACACATAAGTACATCAATTATAAACATTTATAAACATTTCTAACTAACTATTCAATTCAATTCAATGTTATTCTCGTATAGCCCTAAATCACAACAGTTTATCTCAGAGAACTTCACTACCAAACAATAGTGCATGTTTTAACTCATACAGACTTGTTGTACAGTCTGACAGCATGAAACAATATGAATAATTAATAATTCTGACTGTCCTAAAACAAGTTTCTCTAATGGGACAATTATTCCAAGAATGGCTCCTTTATTTTCTCATTTATATATATACATTTCTTGTATATAGTTGAAACAAGATTGATTTTGCGGTGTCCCGTTGGCAGATCTTGTTTTGAGTCTGTCAAAATGTGCTTAGATTAAGATACATTTTGCCAAATTTCAGCTATTTTTCACATGTTTTTCACAACTTTTTCCAGTGTATTGCCAAAAATGTCACAATGTGAAACGAAGGCAGAAAAACAAAAGAGAAAACACTGAAATATAAAATGTAGATCCTCATTCCACATGTGTAATCTAATGAACTGTGAGATAAAGTATTATTAAATCTTGGATATTTAACTATCGTTGTTCATAAACCATGTCCAAACAGATGTATAAGTTCAAGGTTGTGAATAAACCGTCTCCATGGAAACGGCTTCTTGTTAGAAAACCTTTTATCTTCACTTCAGTTCAGACGCTTCAGTTCTGTCGATTATTTACCGTGTTACACTTTATTTACTGTGTGTTTGTAAATGCTGAATCTTATTTTGTTATGAAAAACGTGCTAAATAAAAAATACCACTTCCTTGCTTGCTCCATTTGACCTATTTTGTCGTCTACAAAAATTATGATTTTAGTGACCGTCTTGGTTTTAATTGTTACTTTACGTCTAAACTGAGCCGGGCCGTAATGCTATACATACATACAAACAAAAATAGAGAAAAAAAGACAAAAGAGCCCCATGAGTCACTGTTTAAGTTTGTGCTGAGAGCTGATTGGCCGAGTGGGGGTGGTCCTCTCCTATGTACTACCATGTTAAAACTAGTGATAGAACCTGAAACTGTTTTAGAGCCCGGACTTATGGCTTTTGCTCAACTATTCTCAGTTTATTATCTTGAATTTGAATATTTTACTTGGAGCCATAAACATTTTTTACATTATAACATCATACATATACATTTTTTACATTATAACATCATACAGACACCACTGAACCACTTACACAAGCACCAAGAGAAAGAAGAACAAAACCAAACAGCTGCAGCGAGGATCTGTACAACATTTATTATTAAAAAAGAGGTTAGCACAAAATAATGAATAAAAGAATCCAGTCCAACACATGAATTATAAATCACATTGTTATAATAATCACATAAATCAACTTCTCTTTTGAAATTCTACAACCGAATGTGGGGCGACAGTGGGAAGAGCATTGGTCCCACTGAAGTCTGCTGTCGTTGTGTTCCTGGGCAAGACACTTAACTCCACACTGCCTGAAGCCCCCGCTGAATCTGCACGGCCGTATCTTCGTCTTCACCTGCAGGGGGATCAGCGAGGGGCCAGGTGGCAGCTGTGATTGCCACCGCCTCGACCCAGAAATGGCAACAGTCATAGATCAAACTGTCCACCCAGAGCCTTCCAGATATCGTATTGTTAAAGGAGCAGTATGTAAAAAATCTGGCCAAAAGTGGTACTGCAGCCTCTCCCACTCTCCCTGACTCAGGTTGCCAGATATGCAGACGAATCCAGCTGGGACCAAAACAGCTGAACAGACAAGAGTTTTGTCAACAACAAATCTATAACCAACACCTTTTTCACAAAGATAGAAATCCTGGTTTTGTTCCTTGTTTTGTCGTTAATGATTTGAGAATCATAACGAGACCTTTTTTAGTTCTGCGCCACATGGTACTTTGCCAGTGAGATTAGCTTTGCGCAGTGAGTTCTGGCGCCTGGATCATGGACTTTCTGATTGGTAAAACGATGGAGGGCGGGACATAAAAATGAAAACAATAACTAGGGGCTGTTTTTTAAATTCTAATATCTGAACTACAGTTTTCAGTTAAAGAAGTATTGGAAAGATCATGGTTTATTAATATTGCTTTTGACAGATTAGGGCCCTTTAATGATGACTTAACATTATAATCTTACTCCTACTTTAAATTATTCTAGACTTCATCAATTACACACTAAAACTCAGCCACGCAGATCTGACAGAGGGTGGGATCGGGCCCTGCTTTATACCCCACCAGTGTCCACTTCAGTTTTTAGTCCAAATCCTTGCGTTTGAAGGTGAAACTTACTGTGACTGTGCAGCTGTAAGTGCTGGAGCAAAGTAATGATGAGTAATACGTGTCTGAACTTTCATTCTGCTGCTGAGAGGCCGCTGAGTGCTAATCATGGGGAAATGTGAATGAAGCATGCAGGCGCCGGAGACAAGAACAAGAGCTGTATTAATATTGTCATTTTTCACATGACTAGACTAGCAGCCTCAGACTAATGGCTTTTTCAAATACAAAAATGATTGACTGCGCACAAAACGAGTTGGGGTAATTCCCACAGAAGTTACATAAAGGTATTTATGAACAATAACAATATTTAATCCCATACAGAAGAACGTTTCAGACAAAGCATCGGCGTCTTCTGACATCTCCATCGTGCAAACTGAAGATTTTAGTTATATGGATACATAATTATATCTACAGTCTAACACCTTTCCACCAACACTTAATAACTTATTTGGCTCCCAGAACATGCACGTCAAAGCTTCACTTAAAAACTCTATGTCATAAGTCACTGATAAAAAAATACTCAATACCGATTTTGATACTAATTTATTAAATGCCGTTATGTTTGTACTATTTTCTTTACCGATATATTATTATATTTGTCAAGACATGTCCATTTTTGTCTCAATTATGTCATTATTTTCTAGAATCAATACTTGTTCAAAATAATACCTTGATTTTTTACTAGTTTTAGTTCTCAATGTTACTTTTCACATCTTGATTAGTGTCACTATAAACATATTTAGTTTTTTGAAAGTCTCATTGGAATCAAGAACCTGTTTTTCAAAGGACAAGAGGCAGTAAATATGGAAATGAGCAGCAGCCATCTACCACCGGACCCACCAACTGCCGGAGGATCACCGAGGGACTGGTGCTAATAAAGGGGTAGAAAATGAGTGAAAGCAATGAATGAATGAATGAGGAAATTGCCCTGTGCCGTTTGGAGAACAGACAAAATGGCTGGACTCTGGGATGCTGAGGGTCTGTAGTTTTGGCCTGAAATGTAGGAACAGTTGGTAATTATACATACTGCTATAGCTGCTGTCTGGGGGTAAGCTCTCAACTATTAGGTTTGAACATATGTCGTTCCACACAAAAAAAAGAAAATAAAGAAAAATCAGATTGAAGGACCAGGTAGAATACATGTCAAATCCATATTATTATTTATATTCATTTTTTTTGGAGTATATTCTTTTGTGATTTTGGAGTTAAAACTGTTTAATTTTTTTTTTTGACTATAAATGTGAGAGATTTATTCACATTTATAGTATTTCTATTGGTTGAGAAAATGTTTTAGTAAACTCCAGTTGTCCCAGTCCTAGTCAGTGCATTTCTCATGATTAAAATCACAGTAATAATTAGATAATCGTGGTAGTACAAACGCCGGGTTGAAGTTGCTGTATTATTAAAATGCTGTATAGCTCTATCTAGTGGCTACAAACAGGAACAACATGCATGGAATAATAACAACGTGTCGTCATCACTGTGCGCCTTCCTTCCTCGTCGCGGAAACATGTGAAAAAACATGCTGAAAAATAGTTCTTCTGGCATTTAACTATTTCAATTTCTACTTTACTTGAATATTAGGACCCTACATTTGCGCCGGTGTATACAAATTGTTGAGTACATGCGTTTGGATTAGCATAGCGACATTAGCCACGCGTAGAAGGACACCATTGTGACTGGTTTTGTGGACTTTTGACAGTAAATTATTTTCTGATCATGGACAACACATCAGAAAATGAGATCCAGCTTCACGGAGACGAAGAAATTATTGAAGTGATAGATCTGGATGAGTCGGAGCCTGGTCCTGGTGAGAGATGTACGTAAATATGTATGTATTTATACTTGTAATAACGCATGGATTGTCCCATCAGAGGATCTGGCGGATGTGCTGGACGATGTAGACATTGAGGAAGACGCGGGGAACGCGGAGGATGAAGGCTGGGAGACTGAGGACGAGATGGAGGCGGATCAGGATGACAGCGAGTTCACCTTTTCCAGTCATAAAGGTCTTTTTAAAACCCTTTAGGACCCAGCAGTAGAAGTGATATGAGCTCCCAAATCCATGACACTTTCTATACAGCGACCTGGCTTCCTTCAAATGTTTCCCTTTAAATTCCTTCCTTTAGTAGTCCCTGTTTTGGTTGTATTGTGGAATGACACCTGTTTTAAATATGACTTGTAGTTTTACATTAAAAAAGGTTCAATGTGTCAAAACAATTAAAGTAAAAATGCAGCTGGTTAAAATATTGTAATATATGTTGTGGACCAATGACAACAAGTTTGTGAGAGTCATCCTAAAGTTTGGCATCATGTACATAACATATTCCTGGCCCTTTTCTCAACAAAATAGAAGTATTCCTCCATTGATTTAAAAATATGTATAAAATTATGTCATATAGTTTTTTCTAATCCTGAATAACCTTTTGGCCCAGTGTAAAACATGGCGTGTGATGTTATGATGTGCAATCCAGAACTAAATACTACTTATGTAAAAAGTAAAAATCTCTTTTAATTTCCTGCTCTAAGGGTCTGTATTTTGCGTGAGCTTGGACCCCGTCACTAACACCCTGGCTGTGACGGGCGGAGAAGATGACAAGGCCTATGTTTGGAGACTGAGTGATGGAGAGGTCCTGTTTGAATGCACAGGTGAGTCCTTTTCCACTCTATATAGTCTCTACTTTTCACCTCCTTTAGCTCAGTCTGTGCTGTGTGGAGGAATCTCAAGGCAACCGCAACAACTAGACTAATAAGTGAACCTGAATGTGTCTGATTGTCTCACAGGTCATAAAGACTCGGTGACCTGCGCCCTCTTCAGCCACGACTCGTCTCTGGTCGCCACGGGAGACATGAGTGGGATGATCAAAGTCTGGAAAGTGGAAAACAAAGAGGAGATCTGGTCATTTGAAGTCGGGGATCTGGAGGTATATGTCTACTTTAATTCATACACATTTTAGATAATTGTCTTGCCGTTTTTGAGTAGCTTTAAGGCATGCTTCTTTCTATCCTCCTCACACGTTCAATATCCTTTTTACCATCGTGTGATAAATTCATTGCATATTTCAGGCTATATTTGTAATAACATATCAACACTGACGGGAGAAAGAGCACGTGCTTAATGCAACTCGCCTTTAACTGCGACAATATACGTCACAGATTGTTTTGAACTTTAGAATCTATAGAATCCAGTTGCTTTACACTGCAAAAAATGATCAAATATGAGGTAATAATTGAATCGAGTGATTATTATCTTCATTTGAGCACATTCTGACTGGCTTAAAACCAGATTTTCTTATGGGACAAAGCTGTTTAGTCCTTTTTCATGAGCTCTTGCTTTATTTTCTCATTCCATGGGAGACATTTCTTGTATCTTTAAAAACAAGATCATTTTGCTTTGTCCTATTTGCAAATCTTTTTTAAACGCAGTCAAAATGTGCTCAAATTAAGTTCCATCACTTTTTGCAGTGTAGCTTAAATGTAGCCAGTGAAATGTAGGAAATCTTCATTCAGCTCTGCCAAATAAGAATCAAAATGCACGTCCAAAACCGTATTTTAAATACCAGAGCAATGCAAAAGGACTGGCTTTAGATTGACGCGGATCTAAAACATAAAGTATGAATATGACGTTAGTTACTGGACCAGATCAAACTTAGACGCCGCTCTTCTCCTGCAAGCTGAATGCGTCGTGCAGTGATTTCTTTATAGAATACTTAACCTTTGCCCATGGATTGACAGTTTAAGATAAATGTATGTTTTCTGAGGAGTTGAGAAAGATGCATCCACTTGTTGTAATTTTACATCAAAATACACCAGTTTAAATGTATATCTTTGAAGAATTCGTTTGATCTTTAATTCATTATACAATAATATATTATAATTAAGAATATAACTTGGTCATAAATGAAGATAATCATGATAAATTTCCATGAGAAAATTTTCAGTCAAATCTTTTTTTTTTTTTGCTTTAACCCCTGAAATATTGGCAAATGTTGAAATATGTAGCTAAAAATTAACTTAAAACACAGGATCAAACCTACAACCTTCCTTCTCTGATGTCAAATTAATTCCACATTATTTACCCCCATTCCCCCGATGTTTTATGTCGTCCTGATTTAAAAAAATAAGACATGTAAATAGATTATCTATCCATCCTTCCATCTATCCATTTTCATCTGTTACCGACCGAGCAACGGGTCAGTACAATCTTTTTAGTTTAGGAAGATTCATCTTGTCGTCTTAGTACAATTAGAATAGGTGCGGAAGAACCCAATATTTATCATCTTTTTACCCGGCGGGGGTAAATAGATTATACTCACGTAATAAATATAATTAGCAAGAATAAATTCAATATTATAGAAATCAAATTTGATGTAATTTAAGACAAGAGAACCTTCTGTTGAAACTATCACCTTCATAAAAAGATCGCCTAGCCTTTCCTAAAAAAATTCCTCACGGCCAGGGGACTACAGATGAAAAATAGCTTCCTTGGCTAATTCTGGCTTTTTAACTCATGTTTAATCATGTGTTTTATTAAATTGCATTGTCATTGGCTCAAAGTCATGGGCGGCACGGTGTCTGAATGGATAACACTCTCGCCTCTCAGCAAGAAGGTCCTGGGTTCGAATCCCGGTCGGATCAGGGCTTTTCTGAGTGGGCCTTTGCATGTTCTCCCCGTGTCTGCGAAGGTTTCCTCGGGGTACTCTGGTTTCTCCTACCACTAAAAACATGTAATATGACTGTGCATGCGCCTCCTGTACTGGCGACCCCGCTCCCATCTCTGTGTGGAGGGAGAGGAGAAATGCCCTAAAATAACAATTGGAAACGGCTTTGTGACTCTGGTCTGTGAAAGGCGGTATATGAAAAAAGATTACTTACTTATTCTTATCCCTTTTTATTAATCCATTTCTGGATCTGGCAATCAGAGGCCAACCTTCAGCCCCTCACTGATCCTCCTGCAGGTGGTCTTTCGGCAGGGACTTCAGGCCGAGTGGGGTTCAGTGTCTTGCCCAACAACCGCAGACATCAGTGGGAGTAGATGGAGTGTGGGTATTGAACCCACAACCATTAGGCCTGAAGACCAGCTGAGCCACTGTCAGCCTCTTTGCCCAGTTAGAAAAATGCAGTACAATAACATCCATCACTGTACAGCAACATCTGTCTTTACATGTGGCTGTTTTTCATTGTGCCAACGGTAAAAGCCTGTTTCCATCTACTTCCTGGTGGATGAAATAAGTAATACCTGGCCTCCCATTGCGTCCAGATCAACATGGCCGCTCCCTCCATACTCCCCAGCCCCAGGGGGAGCTCCACATGATGCTATAATGACTGCGCTTTAGTCAAATCTAAAACAGGGTCAGGGTGCAAACGATTCCTCTTTCTCCTCAAACATGATGAATAATGCGAACAGGTATGCGTGGCATGCGGAGATGAAAGCGCAGGATTTAGGAATATTTGCAGACGCACTCCTCCGGGGAGCTTGTTACGCGCGCCCCATCGCCGCGTGGGTCAGCACTGAGTTTTGGAAACCCTTGCCTCCTGCTGTGCGCCCAAGTATCCCAGCAAACACCAAAATAAACATCATGTCCCAAGATGCAGCAGTCCCCCCGCGCGCCGGCAACAGCAGCATCGTCTGCACTTAATGAGATGATTAATATGTAGTGCCGCGTCGAAGAGCAAGTAATTAAAAGAAGAAAAGTGACGCCAAATCTGATTCATTTGTCACAGGGGCGGCGAGGCAGGGCCAGCGCTGTATGGAAATGAGCCACCAGATAGTGTTAGTTTGACTGTGGCTCCAGGCACAGTGGCACCATTTAGAGACTGCAAATGATTTACAACAAGTATTTAAAATGGAACAATCTGTAGATCAGTGATCAACGCTGATTGTTGCACTGCTCGTGTTGATTATTCTGCGGAGACTTGTCTGAGTACGGTATTTACAACGGAGAAATCAACACAAATGGACATAATTTCAAAAGCTCTTTCTTTTATTAAGTAGGCAGTGGTTCATGTTGCAAACGAGTAGCACAGTTGATTATTGTCTGAAGAATGTAATAAGCATACAGTAGTGGGGGATGTATGATTGCCATAAGAATTAGAAGTTTATATCACACAGGGCCTTGATAGCTGTCGTATGTTTCTGTCACGGGAGCTGATTTGTTGCTAATTTTTTTGAGGTAAATATCCTTACAATACATACTACTTCTACTAAAGCTGTTGTGGTCATAGAATAAGAAGTGGCACAATTATATGGCTGGACATTTTCTGTTTACTAAGACAGCAATACAACAATCACAGAACCAACATGGCACCCAAGTCCTATTCACTCTTTCTTTCCCTAATGAAGCTTTTTACTATTCAACTGTAGTCTTGACTCCGGGAACAGCATTGCGGCGAAGGAGACGCTGAATTTAACAAGGCTTTCTCATTTTAATGCAGTGCCATTATCTTCAGCTCAATTATTTAAGCCCATTCCCTTCCACACGCCACAGACTCACTTGTAACCTCGCAAACAGATGACTTTCCCACAATTATGCCTCTACCTGTTTGCCGTGGCACTTTTGAGGCCGGCCCCGGATGCGCTGTTTAAACACAGGAAAACATCGGAGCACGCCAGCGGAGCACAGCCTCATTTGGGTAATGGAGGCATCCTGGATAAAGAGAGCAAAGTCATTTCCAGCACTGGATTTTTATAATGAACTGAGCAGGTAGTGCGGGGACTTACCCAAATGCATGCAGTTCATTTAGTTGTTTACACTCTCAACTTTTATGGGGTAGTTTGGCCACACACATGAGAACAAAAGGGAAAGTCATTTTAGCAGTTAGTTACAGGCAGTAGACCTAAAGCTGATGAATATGAGCTTGGTTAATCATGAATGTGTGTGTTGTATGTCTTTAGTCAAACAAATTCTCCTGCCATGTTATTGTTGTGCTTGCACGTCACAATATCACCTATCCCAACCCCATTCGCAATTGATCAGAACAAGAACAGAACAAACAGGTATAGAGTTTACTTATTGATAGAATTAGAAATAAATGATTTAAATGATAGCTTAGACACGCGATAGTAGCTCAGTTGGTAGAGCATTGGCCTTAAGGCCAGAAGGTTGTGGGTTCAATTCCCACCTCTGCACCTTCTCCACCGACTCCCACTGATGACTGCTGTCGTTGTGTCCTTGGGCAAGACACTTAACCCCACTTTGCCCAAAGCCCCCACTGAAAGATCACGGCTATGCTCAGAGAGCAGCCGTCCTCCTGTGGACTCACCACCTGCAGAGGATCAGTGAGGGGCTGGTGCTATGAGACTTGGGTGGCATCTCTGATTGCCACCCCCCTGACCCAGAAATGGATTAAAGGGTAGAAAATGGATGGATGGATGGATGGAGCTTAGACACGATTATAAAGTTGTATGTTAGATGTCTGAGGTTGACTATGGAATATTAGTGACGTAAATGACAAAACAATATTTATTTGCTGATTTCCTTTGCCATTGATATTCACAGAAATGGCGTATGATATATATACTTTGATTTAAAAAAAAAAAAAAAAGGTCTTGGTTAGAGTGCAGGAGATTTTCCGTGTTGGCTTCTATGATTAGATTAACCGTTAAAACCGTTTCCTCTGTCACAAGGGAACAAGTTTGATGCATGACTAATATGGAACATTAACCTTTTCGAGTGGACAATTGGGTTATGGCCTCAAAAAGTCACTACTTCTTCAAGTATTGCAGTTTTCATCTCCACCATGTGCAGCCTTGTCCAACAGGACCACCTGCTGTCTGTACAGTCCACCCAGCTCGGGGAATGGAGTGGCGTAATTGGTGCAGCGCTTGTACCATACTCCTCCTGCGTGTGTGCTCCTTTTTATAATTACAGGGGCCAAGTGTGCGAGTGCCGGGGCCGGTGCGCACACATCTGAGTGGGCAGAGCGGGTCGAGGGGCCGCGCGCCGACGAGAGCTGCTGCACACTCTGAGTTGAGAGCAAAAAAAGTCCACCTCAGCCTTTAAACGTGGCTCCATAAACTGTTTACTGATGTGTAAGATGGAGACGCAAGGCGGCTGTTGCTAAGATACGAGTGCTTCCAATTAGGGTTTAGAACATATTTTTATTCCTTGGATTATTAGACATACTGTACGAAGCTGATAAGACATTGAGACTTATTTTTCTGCTTGACTTATACGATAATTACTTTCTGTTATACAATAAATGTATGTTTGTTCTGTGTGTATGAGAGTGGGCGAGGAGACGGTTGTGTTTAATAGAAACTTAGTTTAGTTTAGTTTAGTTTATTTGTTTATTTGAGCAATACACATTGTGCTCAAAAGGAGTGGGCTGAAGCAAAAAGCTTATGAGCCCCCACCCCCAAGTGCAATACATAAAAAAAGAACATTTCAAAACATTTCAAGCAGCTAGATTCGTACAGACCAAATTACAACAAACAACAAAAATATATTAACTCTTTATATAATTAATTGGAACAACGCACAGCTACAACAACAATCTAGTTTCATATACGATGTCTATGTAGCAGTGTGGAGTGAGTCTGCCCTCCCCTTACCTGTTTCATTGAAACACCACCTCACGCACCTGCCTGCCACTAATTGCAGGGGCAGGACCTGTGGGTTGTTTTTTTTTTAAGCCTGAGCCTGAGGGCGCTCACTCTTTTGCCACTCCTGCGGGAAGCAGCAGTCTCTTTGGGTCCGTGGAGTTGTGCTGGTGGGGAGCCTCACACAGTGGTTGGTGGCCCTGTTGGCACGTATGTGGGCTTGTGCGGCGTGAGCGCTGCCCTGGGAAACGCCTTCTGCTCGTTTTGGTGAGTGCGCATCATTTATCCCACACTTCCACTTGCGCGCATTTGGCACTCACGCGTTTTCCTCCTGCTCCAGTGTGGCCAGCTCCTCCAGTGTGGCAAACCTTAGTGAAGGGCCTGTGTGAGCCCGTTGTGCTTTTCAGACGTTACTTGTGGGTAAGCATGGTGCCATCTTCCCTCTGACCCATTTGGCTGTCCCCAGTCACCCTAACAGCTCATTTTAATTTAGTTGGTGCTAAATTACGCACAGCGGAGGTTGAGAGCGCGCCTCCGTTCGGGGTCTGGGGGACCGGTGCTTTCTCTGATTGGTGAGTTGCCGTTATTGCCTGATGTATACTCAAATTCTAATCTTTAGTGGTCTAACCCCAGCTTCCCTGCACTTCAGCGGGACCGAGCTGCACCTCCCGCGGCAGTTTGGAGACTGCCAATCATCACAAGTACGCAAATTCTGAGCCCCGTTTCCACCGGCGCAGCTCCTCCTGCCTCCACTGCTCTGGATTGACCCCACAGGCCAGAGGCGCTCCAGTTGTGGACACTGATCATCAATATTAGGCCCACAGAGCACCTGGACACCCAAACTGTAAATTTGTACATTTTAACTGTAATTGAGTTTAGGATTGTTTAATCTTTTTTTTTTTCTTTGTCCTTTGCATGTGTGTGTGTGTGCATGTGTTTTTTTGTGTTTGGCTTTTGGCAATTACCATTATTAATCAAATGTTCCTAACTTAAAAATGTTTTAATGAAAATAAATTTTGTACTTTTGTAGTCAAGTTTTGGTTTTGTCTCTGCCCCCATCACTTTAAAAAGGGAAGCGAACCTGTGTCTGCCTCGTGCAGGGTCCTAGGCCTATCCTAGGTGGCGTTGTTGACAATAGCAAAATTTTTAACCTGTACTTTTAACCCTCGTTATGTCACATCTAGAACAAAGCAAGTCAGAAAATGTGTTACTTAATATATTGCTTGCAGATTTTTACCCGTGATTACAGAGTTACTTTTATGGTATAAAAGTACATTGATAGATATTATAATCTGAGATCTTGATACTTTCCAGTTGTCATTACCATTCTCAGTATAATTTTAATTAGGGTTTAATTATCATCATCATTATTATATATTTATTTAATTGAGTTATGTGAAGTATGATGAAAGCCCTGCACAGTGTGGTGCATTAAAAAGCCAGAGAGTGAGCCAGTTGAAGAGGGCAGTAACTCCCCTTCAACAAACCCCCACACAGCTGCCCTAAAAGCTGATTTTGTAGAATATGTTCCTATGCCGAGTGGTGCATTAAAAGACAAGGTTTAGAGCCCGTTGGGAGGATTCCTCAACAGATCCATAACCTGGCAACCCTAATTCTCAATTTGTGAATTTTAGCAATAGAATGACAACTGTTCCAAGCAGCAACACTCTTCCTTGAATATAGGAAGAGAGTTTCATCATAATCATGAAACTAAAGCAGTGTCTGGCTTTCCCCATTGGCTCCTGGTCGAACTGTCCCTTCTACAATAAGGGATTTTTAAGTTAAGTTTTTGTTTCCTGTTGGTCCTGGTTTTGTCTAGAAGGGGTTTTGTTAAAGTCATGAATTCCAGTTTAGTTGTGGTATTTGACAAAGCAATGTTAAAGTACTTTGATTTTCAATTTTTCAGTATTTTCTCGTTGAAATAGACTAAATTTATGTAACACCAAATGCACCACCAAGGAAGTGGTGTGTGAGTACTTGTTTATAAAGTCCAGAGAACAAAATGTTACAGGAAAAAGTAGTTGACTTGAATACAGCAAGACAACAAATTGCAATGTTTCTTGCTGTATTCTGGTGGACATATGTTTTACCTAAAACAGAGTGGCGTGCACTTTCTCCAGATCTGAATCGCATAAAAAATTCAATGGGACCAGCTGAGCTGCTGTGGAGAGGCTCATTACCCTGTTCCCTAGAACCTGAGTGACCTGAGGGCCGCCCTGGAGAACAGTGCGGTTCCAAACTCCAGCAGACAATAAAACGACCTTGAACAGCAAGAGACACTGTTGTTCAGCTCTATTTGATGCTCAAGGCCAAGTTTAAGAGACATTGCAATTTGTTGTTTGCATCTTTCTAAAACTTGTTTGAGAAGAGTAAATCACCTTTGTATATTCATTTTTAATGCCTTACTTTCAAGTTGGACAATCTTTTTATCAAGTGTCCATATACTTAACCCCAAATACCACTAACGTATTGTATGTAGCATATTTCACATTTCATACTTTTTCAAATTCTAGTTCAGTTCATTTCATTTCAAATTCCCTCTCATTGTGTCAAAGTGTGTGTCATCTGTACACTTGCAGACACACACACAGACACACACACACTGCCATATTCTCTGTATTTGAGGTTTATTAAATCTATAGACACCTCGGGCAGCGTGGGCCTGAGTGAGCGTGCATTCATTCATTCATTATCCAGAAGACCTGCACTGGACTCAACATATGCCTCCATCTGCAAGCTCAGATGGCACTACTGTTTCTCATACCTGAACTACAGAGACTCAGTCGCCATAGGAACAGATGTTACAGAAACATACAATGGCAATATACATAGGGCGTGGATTGTGAAGGTCTCAAAAGATACAAAAAGACTCAAAAGTAGTCTGGGAAAGTCTGGGAATAGTCTTCTTCCTAAAAGGTGGAACATAGCTAGATTATATTGTATCTCTTTTACCATTAGTAAAGAGTAGTTTGGAAGCATATACCCAAGAAGTTACTGGTTTTAGCTTTATACTCATATATATTATCTCCATTTGTGTCTGTTCTTCTGAATTAAATGCATCTACTGTATGGCATTATTTATATTCTCCATCATTTATAAATTACTCAAACTTGTATTAATGCATGCACATATAGGCATAACCCTATTCTCTATCAGGACTGTTTCAGTTCCAACCCATACTTCCTTGTGAATATCTTCAAATTTCAGCTTGTTTGATCAGAATCAAAACATTTAGACAAATTACCAGTTTGGTATTTCTTCTACTCACCACCTCATGTAAGATAAACTATGGATGCCAACATTCCCATTGCATTAAAGAACAGATGCCATTGTGCTGCTCTGGGATCTCGCATATGCGTCATGTTGTTAAAGTGTTCAAGTTGGATCAAAAAGCTGCCTTTCACTTCGCTCCTTCGTGTCGTGCATCCTGATCCCAGTTCTCCATTATCTCCCAATGCGTATCATCAGTTTGCAAATGAGCCAATTAAACAAATGCACTCGTCGCATGCAACCTCCCGATGCCTCCGTATCTCAATTCTCATTACGGCTCAGCGGGGATTGCGCGTGCTAGCCCGCTATCGTAAGGTGGAGAGGAAACTATGCTCAAAGACATCTATAAATCCCCTCTACAGACGCATTTTTATATATCTTTAGTCGGTGGTGCACACGTTAAGACCTCAGCTTAGCTTCTCTGTGTTCCATTACTGGAAATGGAGTATCCCATTACACGTGTGGTAATCTGGACAGGGCCAGGCAGGTCACAAGGGAGATCCAGTGCTTTTGGTGTCGTCTATAGCCGCGGGCACACAGGCATCGTCTCTAACCTTCAGCGCTGCATTAGCCACTCAGCTGATGCATGGCTGACTTTGTCTGTGCAGAATGTAGAGAATACAACTTTATCAATGACCTCATAGCAAAAAAACGGTAATCTCTGTTGCAGTATGAACTGTGAATGTAAAGAATATTCCCCACTGTGGGACGAACATGTGGGATTTTTTAAACGTAATCTTAAAATATGCAGAATTCTGTTGAACATCAGCTATACACTGCTTTGTAAATACAGTACAGCTCAATCCCAGCACTGGCTTGTTTCCAGGTGGCCATGATTGACAGGTAAATACAAAATGCAGAACACATTAGTGAAAGAAATGAAGCATGACACATTGTTCTGCTGAGAAGTGTCATGTTGTTGTCTATTCTCAACTGGGATAAAAGACTTTTATGCATTGGTTTTGGCGAGTACAAATCACCTCTTTTCAATCAGAATCACAGCATAACATTTCACCATTGTGTCACTTTATAGTTCCTGTATCCTGAAAAAGTATAGGATACTTGAGAAAAAGTGGGAATTCCACCTAAAACCATCATTCTTTGAACTTAAAGCACTCTTTTCAATTAAAACACATTGATTATAGTGATGAAAAGAGTCCAAATGTGACGATCGTGTCCCAATATCTACACGTCTGACTGTAGATCCTTTTTGATCTCAAGGTGGGATATTCACCACATCCACATGAAAGGGTGCTATGTCACTTGAGGGATAAAAGAGCCTTGACATGAGTTATATAATAAAATTACTTTCAAAAAGTGTGACCAGAGAAAGTCAAGAGCAGCGCTGGTGGAGGTCGAAAATGAGGACGACATTTGAACGTGAGTGAGTTTCATCTGCCTTAAAGAGGAAAAATACACACTGGCATTAAAGCAATCAAGATTAGAGCTTCAAAGACTATGTTTGTGTGGCACCACCTGTGTATGAAAGCAAGGTCCATCCAACCCTCTGAAGCTAACCAAGATAGGGCCTGGTTAGTACTGTGATGGGAGACCTCTGGGAACAACAGGTGCCACAGTGGGGCGGCTGTTCTGTCTTTAGGCAAAACACTTCACTCACGTTGCCTCGTGTGAGACTGGTGTGTGTCTCTCTGTCCGTCTGTGTGGTGTGTGTGTCTGTGTGGTGTGTGTGTGTGTGTGTCTGTCCATCCATCTGTGTGGTCTGTCTGTCTGTGTGGTGTGTGTGAGTGTGTCTGTGTGGTGTGTGTGTCTGTCTGTCCGTCCGTCTGTGTGTGGTGTGTGTGTGTGTCTGTCTGTCTGTGGTGTGTCTGTCCGTCTGTCTGTCTGTGTGGTGTATGTGTCTGTGTGGTGTGTGTGTGTGTGTCTGTCTGTCTGTGGTGTGTGTGTCTTGTCTGTCTGTGTGGTGTATGTGTCTGTCTGTCCATCCATCTGTGTGGTGTGTCTGTCTGTCTGTCTGTGTGGTGTGTGTGAGTGTGTCTGTGTGGTGTGTGTGTCTGTCTGTCCATCCATCTGTGTGTGTGTCTGTCTGTCTGTCTGTCTGTGTGGTGTGTGTGAGTGTGTCTGTGTGGTGTGTGTGTCTGTCTGTCTGTGGTGTGTCTGTCCGTCTGTGTGGTGTGTATGTCTGTCTGTGTCTGTCTGTCTGTGTGGTGTATGTGTCTGTGTGGTGTGTGTGTGTGTGTGTCTGTCTGTGTCTGTCTGTCTGTGTGGTGTATGTGTCTGTGTGGTGTGTGTGTGTGTGTGTCTGTCTGTGTCTGTCTGTCTGTCTGTGTGTGTCTTGTCTGTCTGTGTGGTGTATGTGTCTGTCTGTCCATCCATCTGTGTGGTGTGTCTGTCTGTCTGTCTGTCTGTGTGGTGTGTGTGAGTGTGTCTGTGTGGTGTGTGTGTCTGTCTGTCCGTCCTGTGTGGTGTGTGTGTGTGTGTGTGTGTC